TTTTTCTGAGAAATTTCCCGTGAAAATTTATTCACAGGATGACTTGTGTTCTAGGCAGTGAACTTAATGAACTTTTGAATGATGACTATTTCCCCACTGTTAACAATGTGAGCTTATCATGAATATGTTTAATTAATACTGAGTTATTCAAATAAAGGTTCTGGTGTCTACATTGCATATTTTGTTGTGATGTTTTGTTGTACCATCATAAATGGTACATTTTGTGGAGCAGACTGCCTAATTTGATGTCATTAAATTATACACAAAATTAGAGCTCAGGTTGCACCAGCAAGCACCATTTTCAGCATGCTGTTCTTGTTTTCGGTGGACGACAGAGGGGACACCTCCCTCTCCTTCTCTCTTCTCCGTTGTGCTCGGTCGCGGGAAAATGCTCCGCAGTTTCCAGACAAAGTTTACTAATACTTTTTTTTCTTGATTAGTAAATTTACTATTACCTAGAAAATTCCAGAGAGAGCCCAGCATATTTGATTAAAATAGTATACTAGGTCTTGCCTAACGAAAATGACTTGAGTGCTAAAAATGGCTCTCCTGAATGCAGTTATGTATTAAAGTCATTAGCAGAGCTGTGTTATTAAAGTCTATACAAAATGGTATGTATTGGGAGAGTGGTAATTAGTTCTTTTAGGTCTTTGAGTGATCATTCACCTTGAAAATTAAAGTCGGGTATATAGCATATTTGCTTTAAATCATTTGTTTATTAGGTATACCATATGTTTGATTGAAATTGTTTATAAGATATATTTATTGTTCCCATTACAGCTACAATCTGTCCTGAAGATCCAACCCCTTCGCCAGCACCCACGCCAACGCCAAAACCCACACAGACACCAACACCTCCACCTTCACCAGGAACATGGAATGTCACTGATAAAGAAGGCAAATTATGTTTGCTTGCACAATTCGGGATGGAATTTACTATTCCATATTCTACAAGCATGGCAGTGGTGAGTTTTTAGCTCCGCTTTCGACTTTGTCGAGTGGAGCATACATACGAGTGATTGTCTGCCGGCGTCCGTCCGCGTCCGCGTCAACTTTTTAGCTCCGCTGTCGACTTTGTCGAGCGGAGCTTATCATATGAGTGATTGTCCGTCGTCGTCGTCCGTGTCAATGTTTTACTTTTTCGACTTCTTGTTGAAAACCGCAAGTCCAATTGCTTTGATATATTATTCATATAGGTACTACATGTGGACCTCTCTCAGATTTGTTCATTTTGTAATGATATCTTCTGTTCTTTAATTGCCATGTGCATTGCTAACAGCGGAGCTATCTCAGCCGACTGTCGGCTGCTTGTTACTTTTTCGACTTCTTCTTGGAAACTACAAGTCTGAATGCTTTGATACTTGGTGTATATGTACCTTGGGTAGACCTCTCTTAGATTTGTTCATTTGATTATATCTTCAATTTTGGTAAAAAGTTGTATGTTTGACTTGTTAAAAACCGCAAGTCTGATTGCTTTGATATTATAATATATAGATACTACAGGTATACCTCTCTCATATTTGTTCATTTGATGATATCTTCAATTCTCTAATTTTGATGAATATTTTTGTAATTTTTGGTAAAAAGTGTTATTGACTCCTGTGTGTAGCACAAAAGGGAGTCTTTGCAGCTACCCTCTCTGTATGTATGTATGTATGTATGTCACTTTTTTTGTTCCACCGTTATCTCAAGAACCACTAATCAAATTTTGATGAAACTTGGTACATAGATGCTCTGTAATAATGCGCAAAGTTGATTAGGTTTTGGTGAAAATCCATGAATATTAATTACCTAATTTGCATAATAATTAGCTGATTTTTAGCTGTTCTATGACTGTTCCACTGATATCTGAAGAACCACTCATTGGATTTTGATGAAACTTGGCACATGGATGCTCTGAACTAATACGCATAATTGAATAGTTTTGGGTAAAACCCATGAATATTAATAACCTAATTTGCATGATAATTAACTGATTTTCAGCTGTTCCATGACTGTTCCACTTATATTTAAAGAACTACTCATTGGATTTTG